CCCCTGAAATCAACAAATCATCAACTTGGCAATAAAATTTTACTATTTAGTTGATAAATGTTACAATGCAATTACAAATTAGCTTATCAAAGTTAATGATTAATTGCTTTGAGGGTATTTTCCCCCCAAAACTGATGATTTGATGGGCAATTTTGCAAATACCCATGATTTAAGGGGTATATATGCAAATAACCCTATTAAAAAACAAAGAAAGCAAGAAAATCTATGAACTTCTTGTTGGGACCATGTCCATGCATTCGACCTGGTTTGTTTAATAACACACATTTATACGTATTTAATGGAGTTTCAGTCCTAAGCCTAACCCTAACACTAGGCAGCTGCCTCTCTCCAAAACCCTAGCCGTCAAAACCCTAGCCGTTTTCTCCAAAACCCTAGCCATTTTCTTCAAAACCCCAACCGCCAAAACCCTGTAGCTGCCTTATGATCCTCATCTTTCTCGTCCTCACCATCGTCATCGCCCTCATCTTCCTCGATAACTCCTCGTCCTTGTCCATCCGATCCACGTCCTCATTAGAATGTGTCGTGTAACTTGGCAAACACCATCGTGTGGAGTCAATAAGAGGGCTGCTAAGCCATTTGATCTTGTTCATTCTGATGTTTGGGGGTCATGCCCAATAACATCTAAATTGGGATTCCGATACTTTGTAAGTTTTGTGGATGATCACTCTCGTGTTACTTAGATTTATCTTCTCAAGTCTAGGACTGAAGTCTTTTCTACTTTTAAACTCTTTTATTCTGAAATAGCCAATCAATTCAAGACTTCGATAAAAATTTTCCGATCTGATAATGCAAAGGAATATTTGGATGGTAACTTCACTAGTTTCCTTGAACAACATAGAATCATTCATCAGTCTTCTTGTGTTTATACTCCCTAGCAAAATAGAGTTGCTGAACGAAAGAATAGACATCTCCTTAATATTGGCCGGACCTTGCTATTCCATCGCCACGTTCTCAAAGAATTTTAGGGGGAAGCTATCTTAACAGCATGTTACTTGATTAATCGAATGCCCTCTTCTGTTCTGCAAGATAAAATTCCTTTCAAAGTTTTATACCCCAACGATGATCTTTTTCCGCTTCCTCCAAAGATTTTTGGCTCTCTGTGTTTCGTTCATAATCACAGTCCAAATAAACAAAAGTTTGACTCTCGGTCTATTAAAGATATTTTTCTTAACTACTCCCGAAAGCATAAATGTTACAAGTGTTTCTGTCTGTCACTCAATCGTCGTGTTATCTACTGATATAACATTCTTTGAAGATAAACACGGTCATTCTAGCTCTCCATATCTATTATCATCAGATGAGTATGACTATTTAATCCTGTAATAGTCATTGGTTAACGGTTGTGGTTCATCCACTGACAATACTATTTGTACTACCGGTAATGACTCAGTTAGGTTTAACGACCTAATTCAAGTTTATCATCGTCGCTTTGCTCCTACTCTTGTGTCAACGTCGGTCTCAACACCACGTCCTCCGCCCGAAAAACATGAATCAGTAAGTACAAATTTACCCCCTTCTGCGAAAGACCTTCCTATTGTACTTCGAAAAAGGCACGAACTTGTACTCAATATCTTATTTCTAACTTTGTCTCCTATGATCGCCTATACTCTATCTTTTGATCTTTTGTTACTTCCCTCGACTCATTTTTGGTTCCCAAGAATGTGTCAGAAGTTGTCTATTTCAGGTTAGAACCAAGCGATGTAGGACGAAATGAGAGCCTTACAGTAGAATGAGACTTGGGATTTGGTCTCACTTTTACCAGGAAAGCGACCCGTTGGCTGCAAGTGGGTGTACACTGTCAAGTTGAATCCTGATGGAACTTTAGCACGCCTGAAAACCAGACTGGTTGCTAAAGACTATTCACAGGTATTTAGCTTGGATTACGTAGATACTTTATCTCCGGTGGCAAAAATAACATCTGTTTGGATTTTTATTTCGTTAGCAGTGACAAACCACTGGCCACTTCATCAGTTGGACATCAAGAATGCATTCCTTAATGATATTCTAGATGAGAAAATTTACATGGAACAACCACTAAATTTTGCTGCTCAGGGGGAGAATGTGAATGTGTAGACTGAAGAAATCACTCTATGATCTGAAGCAGTCTCCGAGAGCCTGGTTTGGACATTTTGCATCGATTATTCAGGAATTTGGGTTTTGTCGTGCACAAAAAGATCACTGTCTTCTGGCGATTTCAGAATGGGAAATAAATTCTGCCAGTTATCTATGTGGATGACATTATAATTACAGGGGATGATACTTTTGGTATTGACAGCCTAAAAAAGTATTTACACATATTTTCAAACTAAAGATCTTGGTTCCCTAAAATACTTTCTAGGCATTGAAGTTGTAAAGTTAACGAAGGGTATTCTTCCATCACAAAGGAAATATGTCCTGGATATGCTCTCAGAAATCAGGATGTTAGGATGCAGAAACAGTGATTCTCTAATGGATGTGAACTCAATACTATTAGACTAGAGGGAGCTTCTTGAGGATGTTAGGCAGTATAAAAGATTTATGGGAAAACTGAATTGTTTGATGGTGACCAGAACTGACATCACATTCGCAATCAGTGTTGTGAGTCAGTTCTAGTCTGCACCAAGAACAACTCACTTGGAGGCAGTAATGAGAATTTTGAGGTACTTAAAAAAGGCTTCAGGACGAGAAATTCTCTACTCAGATCAAAGGCACACTAGAGTTGCAGGCTTCTCTGATGCAGATTGGGCTGAATGTCCTTTTGATAGGAGATCGACTACTGGAAATTATCTCTCGGAGAAAATCTGGTGTCATGGAAGAGTAAGAAGCAAAGTGTTGTGTCTCGATCCAGTGCAGAATCAGAATACAGAGTTATGGCAAATGTGATACTATAAATGGTTTGGATCAGAAACCTATTGATTGAGATTGGTCTACCTCCAGAATGTCTCATGAGTCTATATGATGATAATAAAGCAGCAATTCACATTGCTGAGAATCCCGTGTTTCATGAGAGAACCAAGCACATTGAAGTCGACAGTCATGTAATCCGCAAGAAGCTCGAGAACAAAATCATCACAGCAAAACATGTATCGACAGTACATCAGTTGGCAGACATTCTTACAAAACCACTTGGTCAAACACGGGTTGACTTTATTTGTAACAAGCTGGGCATGCATGATATATATGCTCCAGCTTGAGGGGAAGTGTTAGAAGAGAGTATGAGTATTAGTTTAGCATTAGTTTAGTCTCACATTGCATGTGAGACTAATTTGTAACTAATCCATCTCTATAAATAATAAAGTATAGAGTGAGTTATTGATTGAGATTGGTCTACCTCCAGAATGTCTCATGAGTCTATATGATGACAATAAAGCATCAATTCACATTGCTGAGAATCCCGTGTTTCATGAGAGAACCAAGCACATTGAAGTCGACAGTCATGTAATCCGCAAGAAGCTCGAGAACAAAATCATCACAGCAAAACATGTATCGACAGTACATCAGTTGGTTGACTTTATTTGTGATAAGCTGGGCATGCATGATATATATGCTCCATCTTGAGGGGAAGTGTTAGAAGAGAGTATGAGTATTAGTTTAGCATTAGTTTAGTCTCACATTGCATGTGAAGTGTTAGAAGAGAGTATGAGTATTAGTTTAGCATTAGTTTAGTCTCACATTGCATGTGAGACTAATTTGTAACTAATCCATCTCTATAAAAGCATTAGTTTAGTCTCACATTGCATGTGAGACTAATTTGTAACTAATCCATCTCTATAAATAATAAAGTATAGAGTGAAGAAAAACTCTCCCAAAAAACTCTTTTCTCTCCAAATCTTAACAGGACTACCATTAACAAATGCAACAAGAATAAAATCCTAACATCTATACCTTATCCAATTTCATATCCATACTTCTCCAGTACATGGTTTATGTAGTAATATGGGAAATATGTCACTCACACACGCGCACTCTCATGCACATACTTACATGATAAACATAGGGGATACCGCTCATTTAGCAAATAAACATCTAAGAAATTGAAGTGGTGAGGTTCACATGCTCCAATGTGACTACAAGGAGACACCTCACCACTTGTCCGATCTCTTGGCAGCTCATTTAGCAAAATGAACGGCAATCTCATACCCATTTTGGCATATTATATGTACACATAAACAAACAATGTATATGCACAAACATGACACATAATGCTTGCATGTGTGGGTAGGTGGGTGTGTGATATGAGCAGCCAGCATAAGGAAATGTCAAGAATTCCATAAACCAGTCATCCATCCATCAGTCTAGTTTATCACATCCTAAAATGTTTAGACAAAAGGTTATATATTTTGCAAAACCTTTATGTCATCAATCTAACAGTTCCTAAGTTCTATGTTAAGCAGGTGTTCATTTTATGTTAGATGAATGGGTCAGAAAACTTCAAATCACTTTCTTTTCTTTTTTTTTCTATTTCTTTTCCTTCTTCTTTTGGACTGTATATGATGTGCACTCAAGGTCAAAATTGTGCATTATCTATTAAGGTGATCCACCCTGTGGTTTGACAGATTGAAACAAGCTTTTAAGTTAGCTCCAAGTCAACTTTAAACGCATATCCATACACATGATTGGGTAGATTGAGACTTAACAGTGATTCTGGAATTCAATGAGAAGAAAAGTTGCTATAATTTCTACAAGTTCTTCAGCCAATCAACAGGAAGGTGCGAGATTGCAACTTAAGAGTAGACAGATAGAGAGGGGGGGAGGGGGTATGGATGTAACCAACCTGCTACAATGGTACTTGTTCTCCCCATCCAAAATTTCTGTGCCTGTGTACCGAGCCAATGCTTCATCAAGTGTTCCAATGTCCCCATGTATTTCCACTGTAAGATCCATCATTCGTTCCCGACGCTCAGATTTCCCCCGGCACCTTGTGCACTTTATCTGTACACACCTATCATCATTTATCAATCTCATCTTAACAGAAAAGGACATAACAACAAACAGAGAAATACCCAATGAAAATCAAAATAATTAACTAATAATATAGATAATACCTTTGATCGAAGGTAACCACCAAAAACTAATTGAATAAGTGTTGTCTCTTCAGCTTTTGTTCCAGCTGCACTTTTATCAGCTTGTTTAAGGCACACAGATTGCATGGTGTCAATTGCATACCTGTTAACATAAGCCATAAGTCTGAATAGTATTCAAAGGAAATATAACACAATATAAAGCAATATATTAGTCAACATTTATGTTCTAAAACAGCCAAATTAAAAATATCAGATCAGTGTTATTGAAACCATAAACACAGGATTTCTTTGACAATTACATTTTTTTTTCTCGGGCATGATTTAAGCCAAATGATGCAAATTAGACCCAAGTATGAAGTTGAATTCAAATGAATCATGCAATTGCAGCCAAGTATAGAGTTGATTAAACTCACCTCAAGAATTCATGAGCATCTTCTTGTCTTCCATGGTCAAAATTACTTCCAACATTAGAAAGTATCCCAATAGGGGATAAAGGATATTGTCCTTGTTTTGCTTTGAGAAGAAGGCTTGCAAACTCACATGTGAAACACCAGTCTCTTCGGGGACCTGTGAAGCAATAGAACATGGAGGAGAAACTATTAATACAAACTCTTCCTTAAAAAAGTTAAATAATATGGGTACGGATGAAGGGAGGGAACATACATGTATTGGTATGCAATCCCTGAAGCAGATATGAAGTTAGTGGCCGAGTAAATGCCAAGCACTGAAGAACAGCATTTGCATAACAGCTGCCACAATTAACATAGGCAAATTAGAAGAAAAACACATGAACATAAATTAGACTGAGTAGGCTCATAGAAGCTAGCCCAGAGTTGTAATAATATTCAGCTTTCTACATCTTCCACCAGAGAACAGCATATGATAACAGAATTCTAAGAATCACAGCTATTCTAAACAGAAAAACTTCACACTCAGAAATAACAATCATATCTTTTTGCATATATAAACAAGAAAACAACCATTCATACAGAATTTGTCAGAAAAAGAAAAAGACGAAACAGCTTTTGCATGAAATAATGTAAAAATATTTAAGTGAACACAAAGTGCTCTTTACACCATGCAGACGATTCTAGAAGGATGATAGTAGAATCAAAATTGTTCCTAGGGTATGGCTTTAGTATAACAGATGGCAAACTTGATATCATTATCGCTAAACCTGTCGTACAGATGGTTTGAGTTAAATGTGAATTGAAGGATGCAGATCATGGACAGTGTATGCTTATTAAGGAAACAAAAAATTAATCAGACCAAAAGTATCATTATCATGGACCATGGTCAACATAATAAATTCAGAAACCTCCTAGAAATATCTTAATATGAAGTAGCTGTGTTTAAATAATCTGGACATGCATATCGTCAGAAGTCATTTAGCAAACCCTTACCTGTTGCCACAGTTTGTAAGGCCACAAGGACGCAATTCCACCTTGTCATTGTAAAGTTTTATGAAGAGATCATAGGGAAAAAGCATCTGACAAAACAAAGAAAATACATGTTACTAATAAAAAGATACAAAAGGATCATGAACCTACATCCAGTTGCCCATTTCTCATAAAATGAATAAATATTAAAAGAACACACCTTGTATTTTCGGTATCCATCACTTCTAGGCCCTGACGAATGATTTGGAAGATTTGAAGATTTTAATTGTTGAACTGCTCTCCTGACAGATGTTTTTAAGACACTAACGCCATTGGGTGAAGGACCTGTAGTCTCAACCGGTATTGCATAGAGTACAGAAGCATTCTCATTCTTTGCTGGTGTATCACGTGAAACATAATGCCTTCCACCATTAGAGGATTCATGTTCCACAGATGAGAAAGAAGATGGAGGTCTCGAGATCTTAGACATCTGTAAGCCTACATCAGTGCTCCCCTCAGTAGCAACAGAGCTTGAATTTCTAGTGCCTGAAGATGCCAAATATCTATGTTTCAAGTCTATGGACTGAGCAGTACCTTTTGATGGAACAATTCTGCAAGAATACTCTTCTTTAGCAGATCTCTCAGTAGGTACTGAGTTGGAAGAGGCCCCAAAAGAAGATGCAGCAGCAACAGCTTGAACATTTTCCTTCTTGGAACCGATAGCACCTTCAGAAGGCCTAGTTTCTGTACGATAATCAGAGAAAACAGAGCTTGATCCAGGACTACTTGAACTGCGTTTAACATCATCTCCTTCATTACTGCTCACCTTCAGCTCAATGTTGCTCGAGCAAAATAAACTATTCACAGACGAGCATGCACTTGCAAGTGAGGCCTTTTTATGGTTTGCATTGCTAGTTTGAACTGCTGTCATGGGATCTTCAAGCGAAAAATCATGATAGGAAGCCTTCTCAATTTTCCCAGAATGGAGAACAAGAGGGTCATCATTGGCAGAAGCATCATCTGATGTCTCCAGAAGTCCCGAAAATGTAGAGCAGCTAGATGATGATGCAGATGAGGATGACAACAATGATGAGTCTGCAAAAGAATCCAAGTTGCTCCCTGTCTCAGGTATGCCTACAAATGGCTTGATTTTAATCTGATCCTCACTAAAGACAACTGATGGTGAACTGGACTCAGGAAGTTCTCTTGCAGAGGATGTCTCGATTTGTTTCGCCTGAGGCTTTGTCTCAATCTCTAGATTATTCTCTGCTAAATCAGATAGATTAGTCTGTAAACCAATCAGATTGGTAATACTGTCTCCACCACTTTTGCTATCATCAACTTTTGGAGGATGGCACTCATCCTTGTGACCCTGTCTCCAATGGATGATCTGGCATTTTCCTGAGCTGCAATAATTCAGATAAGGAGAAGGTTGTCTCCATTGGTTAACATTTGGAAAATCTTATGCCCACCAAGTAACCACTATATAACATTCTCAAGATACTTTGAATAACCGCTAAATTATTGGACATGTCAAAACTGGATGCCAAGACTACACAAAAGGGATCAAGAACTAAGCAGAAATCATAGAAGTTCAAATCGCCAGGCAGATTCTACAGATTTTCAGTTAACAAACAGGCTGCGAAGTTGAGTAAATAACATTAAGGTATATACTCCAGATAAGGGTGTGGTAGATCCGCTAAGTAGGAACAGTAAGATAAATGAATGCTAATATCTTTGATAAGCTACTTTAAATGAAATTTCAGGATAAAAGAATGATCAAGAAATGCTGGAACTTTTTTTCTTTTAAGTTATCCAGAACACAAGTTGTTATATAATATTTAGATATTGCAAAATGAACAGCTTAAAGTCTAATCACTATGTTAAAATAAATGTCACTGCTTGGAAGAAGAACAGAACCCAATATGTTTATAAATGAAAAAATTTTCATAAAAATGAATTAATCTGTCCTTTTATAGGTTGTCTAACAATACATTAAATAAAAGATGGCTTTCCAATTAAGGTAATACATGTTCATATGACTAAGTAACCAATTCTAACTTTTATTGGTTAATATTAGTTCACCAACTAGGGCCAAAATGATCAAAAAAGATCCAGCAACCTCAACATCCATCAAATATGAATTGTCACAGTCATTTAACTAGATTCAAAAACCTTTTAACACTATGCATGAAATATTTACCTATTTATATGCACCCATTTGCATCAGAAATCTTGTGGGGGCTAATCTAAGCTATGAAATTGTCCATATTAATGTGCCAAGTTGATTAAGTAGATCTATTAGAAAAAGGGTATTTAAGCCTAAATCAGAATTATTGTCGAGATTGGATGCTAGGCTTGGATTATTCATTAATCTAAATGATGAGGATCAAAAGGAATTAAGAATTTACTAGGAGATCTAAAGAAGAACAGAGTTTAGGATACAAGAGGGGATGCAAATGAGAATTCACAGACATAATTATAAAGCAACCTTGTGAGGCCGATCTGCTTTATTCATTTTAGCAATCTTTGTAATGTATTTTTGGATTATATTACTACTGAAATACTTCTTGACTGGCTTCCCTGACGGAATGGAGTTAGTTCAAAAGCCCGCAGTTGATTATCATTCACTGGTTTTGGGTACTTTAATGCTAAACTGAACAAAAAGCATAAACTTTAATGAGCAGGAAATATTTCTGGACTAGAAGTTGGCATTTCTATTTGTGTGTAGCATAAGATACATCATACACATCAAATTAAAACTAAAACTAAAACTAAAAAAAAAAGAGATGGAAAATCCTACTGTTATTTTTCCCGTCAGCTGTACTACATATCTACCTGAAACAGTCATTCTGCGTAAAAGAAGACATTATTTTCTTCATAAAATGGTGGCCAAACATTTATTCATATGCTATCACAGAATATTCGCCGCTGTGCCACATGCATGTCATGCTCACTTGTCTATAATGTTAAACAAATGAAATGGCCAGCACCTTGACTGTGTTTCGCAAATGCAATATTTGAGTCCTAACATAACATAGATCATATGCCGCAGACATCTTTGCACAAATGTAGACTCAGAACAGAACTAGAAAAAATTTAACTATTATTTCACTAAGGGGCTGTTTTGGCTGGTCATGAATGGTGCTGCAGACAATCACTTACAGTGCATTTCTGATGTCCGAGTTAGCATAATTTGCTACAACCTGAGCAAGTTGTTGAATATTATAACCAGAAAAGGTTATACTTGATGTTGTGGCTGAATTGGCAGTGACAAGAGTTACAACCTGGTGTGTTTAAAAGGACTCTCCAATCGCAACAAGAGAACATTTATATCATTATGATCCTACAGCGAATCAAACTGAGAAAGTGTATATGCAGCAACATTACTAACAACTAAAATATACACAACTAGTTAAGATGCAGGTATACAATTTACCACTAGCGATGTCAAATTGGTTCAGATGAACCTGAAATCCACTAGACCCAATCCTGTGGAAGTTATAGAATCCACTGGAACCTGATCCGGTGAACTTTTTATTTCCTTCAAACCCATTTGATACAATCCCCCGAACCACGAACCCACCCAATGTAACATATGTATACACATATGTAAATGTACACATGTACATGGTAGTTTAAAATAGCTTGCGAATTGATAGGAATAGACTTGTAATATCATTATTCTTGACAGTAATTTACTCAAAATCACAAATCTTGAAATGTTGGGCATCAAACTTAGCATCTCTAACCCAAGCATAAATGATTGTGCATATGTCTTGCAGAGGCTTAAAATGTACATAACTATATATCCTACTAAACAACAATCCTTTTCAGCAAAATGTAAATTTTTATTATAACAAAGTGGCAGATCCCTTTTAACTCTATATTTACTCTCTCAATAAATGGTTAAATGTTATGCAAACATATAAACACACATATAGTCTCCATTCCAAAATTTTGGAATCGTCTACATGAATCTCTTTTGCTATTCAACTCTAATAAGAGAAATTTGATCTCTTAAATTACTAATTATCACAACCTTTATTAACTTCAGCCTAGGTTCCCTTACATGACTACAGTCCTCTCATTCCTATATTGTGCGGCTCATTCCCTTTCTTGCACCACCAAACCATCTACAATAGTCTATCATATTTTCATTAATTGTAGATGTCGCTAATCACCTATTGACAAATGAATTTGCTATCTGAGAATTCACATTATCTAGATTATCAGTTTTCAAGATCATCAAGTCCGAGTTTTGAAGCACATTTGGTTTTTAGGTTATTTATAAACCTTTCCTTTATTTTCATGTATATTCTAAATTTACATAATATAGTAAAAACATTTGTCTACTAAGTGCTGAATGATTGGATTCAACTAACAGGAACCTCCCTACTAACAATACATTGATGAGATAGGATCTAAGGGTCAAAAAAGTTAAGTTTTAGGTATACATTTGCACATAATTAAGTTCAAGATATACGAATTAGATAGCAATTAAGTTTCTCCCTCATATCTGTAAAAATCAATTATGAATGATTGGTAAATGAAATGGAGCTGACAACAAGCTAACCTAAGCCTAATATTTAATATGGCACTACAGCAAATCTGATATTACGATAGGCACTACTGTTGCAATCAGACTGGCCAGTAAGGCAAGAGTGACTTCCTCCAAAACCCATAAGGGGTACAATCTTGGCTCTTAAAATTAGGCATCAGCCTTAACGAAAACCACAGGCTTAGCCAATTCAACAAAGAGATTGCTCAAATTGACACTCCGTAAGCTCACGCGAGATATACAAATTATTGTTGCCAACTGCACCAATGGCTCTTAAAATTAGTAAGTTAGTTTGAAGCAATTAACTCACTCGTACCAGGGAAATTTCATAGAACGAACGATTAAAGCCTAACTGCACCAATTGCGCCAAAAATACCCATAGATACCCGAACAAAAACCCTAATTGCTCACAGAAAACCACAGAAACTAACAATTCCAACCAAAATTCTACCAGAATTCAAGAACTCGAGAACCCAACATACCAGTATCTAACAGCTTTGCATCTCGAGCACCTTGTCCTGGTCTCCCGATAACAAACTGCACACTGAGGCAACAGCGTCGGCCTCGGCCCTAGCAGCCTCCTCGGCAGCGAGCCATGCAAGCCTCCTGACCTCCACCCTTCTTGCCACCGCCATCCTCCATCTCCTCTCTGCCAAGAACCAGATCACGGCGGCCGGCGGCGATGACGACGGCGACCGCTGCAAACCCTAGATCCACCCTATCTCCGGGCATCTATACCCACTCATCCACGTCAGCATCCCCGCAAAAGAATCGCCGGTGCTCTCTCTCTCTCTCTCTCTCTCTCTATCTATCTATCTATCTATCTATCTATCTATCTCTGCTTCTTCGCTTCTCAGTTCAATTTAAAAAGAGAATAATGGCCTTCATACGAAAGTATCAACAAAAAGAGAATTCTTTTTCCTGTGGGAATTAGGAGTTCGGAGAAGAAAAGGATTTGGGTACAATGAACTGCCGAGTGCCCGTTAACTAACCTGTGTCTTAAATAGGACAAGCACGTTTCTGCGGATACATTTAACCGGGTGACGTGCTCCGCGGGTTCCACTGTTCGCGCTTACTCGGACCGTCAACGCCAACGTCACAATGGACGGTCGCTGATGACTCTTTATTTTAACATTCCATCGAAATCTGTTTGCGGACGTCAGCATATTCTCTAACGGACTTTCCGCTGGAAGTTTCTATGAGATTCTAAGACCCGTAAACGACAGGAGAACAGGGGAACGTTGGATGTGGAGTGTTCTAACGGGCCAGACCGGGCCGGGCTAAAAAGCTCCGTCTAGAACCGGGCTCGGAGTTCCCACTCGTCAGATTTGGATCTGGGTCCGGGCCACTCATCGGATTTGCCCAGATTTTTTTTATTTTATTTTTTAGCTTAGAAACTATGTTTTTTAAACAAAAGATCGAAATAAAATAGATTTTTTGCACAAAAAAAGAAGTAGGTTCAGAAATTTTTACAAAGATGTAAATTCTTTTGCAACTTGTAAAGAAATTCTATTTTATTCTTAATATCAAAATCTCTGACAATTACAATATTTTTATAGAAACTGTCGCATCATAATAAATGAGCACCTCTCAACTAAATTGACACCTATTTATCTCTATCAATATCATTTGTAATTCTTTTCAAAATAAATTATTGCAGATGAGCACATCACAACTAGATTTGTAATATCCATAATTTTCTTGTGATAATAAGTCTAAGTTATTATTTGTTTAAATAGATATCCAAACAATGGAGTTAACAATATTAATTTATAAATATAAATGTGTAAGAGGACTTTTATGCAAAGGAAGAGTTATAGCTATGATGGCATATTTTTTTGCTTATTAAGGGGCTTGTTGCAATTAGATTTTGTTAAGGGGTTTATTGAATAAGAAAACCTAATAAAAGAAAGGAGTAAAACCCTAGTCCGTAGCCTGTTTCTTCTTCCCGTCATAGTTTCGCCCTAAAAAAAAATCCTCCGAGAAAACCTAGTATGGCTACTGCTCTATTTCCCTTTCCTCCTAATTTCTAGGGTTTCAGAGCTCTTAGCCATTAATGGTAGTGGCCATCAATGCTACCAGGTTCCAAATCTCCCAGTTCTCCCCAAAAAAATCAATTTCTCACAAGTCTTTCTCAAAATTTCTCTCGTTTTGAGCAGTTTTTGGAGTGAAAATGGTTTTGGGCGTGTATTGATGAAGGTAATTCTGTAATATTTGAGAAGAAGAGGGTTTTGGGATGAATAGTTCTTTCAGCGAGCAGATACTGGCGGATAAGCTCTCAAAGCTCAATAGCACTCAACAATGGGTTCAAGTGAATTTGAGGAGGCGTCGTGACTGGTATTCTGATAGTCTTTAGTTTTATGTAAGTGGTGAATTTGTACATTATTCATTGCGTATTTTTTATATAAAAGTACATGACTATATGTAAGTTTGTTTTGATGGATTATACCTTTGTTTTGATGGATTATACCCTTTTGTATGGTTGGTCGTATACTAATTGTTGATTGGATTAATACACATGGTTATTTGGTATAAACCTATGTCAATTGTTATGTTTTTCATATAGTAGTAGGTTGAGATGCATATGTGGTTAATTTATTTCACTATTGGTGGCCTTTGACATTTTTGTATAACATATTTAGCCGTACGAACTTTGTTCGATTTTCTTAAACCATATGCATCTCAAGTCAATATACTGGTATATGTCGAATATAAGCAAGTTATTAAAACATGGCTCAATGTGCCTCTGTGAGGTTTTTATTTTAGCGCTAAGAGCTCAAGTTTGGGTCTCACCTTCCCGACCGCGGGCTATATAATAGTGGGTTTGCCAAGTCAACCAGAGTATCGAAGTGTTGACAGCATTGAGACGTGACCTGCTTATTTCTATTGCATGTATATATTTTAAAAATATTTTTTTTGAATGAATATATTTTAAAAATATTGCATTATAATTTTACTATTTTAGTATTTTGTTTATCAAGTCAATTTATTTTAGTTTTACAAAACTAGTGTTTATTGTATGAATTTATCCACTTATTTATGTAATATCCCTAATTTCCTTGTGATAATAATTCTAAGTTATTATTTGTTTAAATAGATATCCAAACAATTGAGTTAATAATATTAATTTATAAATATAAGTGTGTAAGAGGACTTTTATGCAAAGGAAGAGTTATAGCTATGATGGCATATTTTTTGCTTATTAAGGGGCTTGTTGCAATTAGATTTTGTTAAGGGGTTTATTGAATAAGGAAACCTAATAAAAAAAGGAGCAAAAACCTAGTCCGTAGCCTGTTTTTTCTTCCCGTCATAGTTTCGCCACACAAAAAAATCCTTCGATAAAACCCTAGTATGACTATTGCTTTCTTTCCCTTTCCTCCCAATTTCTAGGGTTTCAGAGCTCTTAGCCATTAATAGTAATGGCCATCAATGCTATCAGGATCGAAATCTCCCAGTTCTCCCTAAAAAAAAAATCAATTTCTCTCAAGTCTTTCTCAAATTTTCTCTCGTTTTGAGCAGTTTTGGAGTGAAAAATGGTTTTGGGCGTGTATTGATGAAGGTAATTCTGTAATATTTGAGAAGAAGAGGGTTTTGTGATGAATAGTGTTTTCAGCGAGCAGATACTGGCGGATAAGCTCTCAAAGCTCAATAACACTCAGCAATGGGTTCAAGTGACTTTGAGGAGGCGTCGTGACTGGTATTCTAATAGTCTTCAAATTTATGTAAGTGGTGAATTTGTACATTATTCGTTGTGTATTTTTCATATAAAAGTACATGACTATATGTAAGTTTGTTTTGATGGATTATACCTTTGTTTTGATGGATTATACCCTTTTGTATGGTTGGTCGCATACTAATTGTTGAATGGATTAATACACGTCGTTATTTGATATAAGCCTATGTCAATTGTTATGTCTTCTCATATAGTAGTAAGTTGAGATGCATATGTGGTTGATTTATTTTACTATTGGTGGCCTTTGGCATTTTTGTATAACATATTTAGTTTTACGAACTTTGTTCGATTTTCTTAAACCATATGCATCTCAGGTCAATATACTGGTATATATCGGATATAAGCAAGTTATTAAAACAGGGCTCAATGTGCCTCTATGAGGTTTTTATTTTAGCGCTAAGAGCTCAAGTTTGGGTCTCACCGTCCCGACCACGGGCTATATAATAGTGGGGTTTGCCAAGTCAACCGGAGTATCGAAGTGTTGACAGTATTGAGACGTGACCTGCTTATTTCCATTGCATGTATATATTTTGAAAATATTGCATTATAATTTTACTATTTTAGTATTTTGTTTATCAAGTCAATTTATTTTAGTTTTGCAAAACCAGTGTTTATTGTATGAATTTATCCACTAATTGAGTTGTGAACTCATTGTGTTGTTTTCATTCTTTTCAGAGACTCGGGACTAGATGGAATTGAGGATTTGTCAATTTTTAGAACGAAGCAAGGAATATAATTCGAGATTGCTATTGCCTTCTAAGCAAAAGTTAAATAAAGTCTTTGATGTTTAGTTGATGAATTGTGAATTTTGTAATAATGAGATTCTTTCCTTTAGGTTGAGTTTTATTTCAAGTTGAGGAATAATTATTTTTATCAAGTTAATTGGATTAGTGTTAACTTTTGGAATTATAGAGAATACTTATTATTGGTTTTAGTTCGATGAAGAGTTTATTTTGATGGTCTTTTAATGAATGCATATTTTGGAGGGTTTTTTACAGGTTTAGTCAGGCTCCAATATTTCTTTTAGGTTCAGAATTCGAGGTCGTGACAGAATTGTATCAGAGCTTAGGTTGTATGTCGTAATTGATTATGGAGATGGTTAAGTAATGAAAAAAATATATATTGGACTTTGATACATGGAAATAAAAGTTGATGTTTTATTTTGAAGTCTGATCGAGGACAATATGAATATTATTGGATTAAATTTAGTTATAGAGGTATATGATTTTAGATTCATGGATTACATAATTCCTTTTTGTTTTCCTAAAGATAAAGGAATTAGTTCAGCTTAGTTGGAGACATGTTTGACATATGTGACTCATGAAAATATTATCTGATAATATATGATAATATGATAAGGAATATGCCAAGGATTAGTTATTGATGATTATTATGATTAAACTTTCATGCTAAACATATTTATTTTTGGTGATGTTAGGTTGTGATGGCACTTGATGTGAGAGATTATCATTTGAGATTTATAGAAAAGAAATTTGATGATTTATTTTGAGATGTTATAGTAGATGGTATGCCAACTCAGTTGATTAAATGATTATAGAAAATTCTATGTATGAATTCTAGTTAGAAACATAGAAGTGTAGACTTTATAAATGTAGAAGACTATAAATGCTATTAGTTTTGATTTTTAAGGAATTACATATATAGCCTGCGTAGCATAATGCAAGGTAAAAATATGTGGCTATTACTTAAATATTTGTCTATGTATATAACTTGAGTATTTCAAAGATTAATGTTACTGTGATTGTTATTATGGATTATGACACTATTCCTTGATGACACCAACCAGATGACAATGCATTAATGGACTTTATAAATTTTGTCTGGTGAAATGGATAGTCTAATCATAACTGGATCAATTTATAGTGGCCTCTTTGATGATGTATGAATATTTTTCAAGAGTCAGCATGAGCAAAAGAATATATGAGGATTATTTTAGCTATGTTATGATAGAGCTAAAAATTTTATGTAAAGTTATTATGTTTTGAATTTTGATTAAAGATTGTTTCTTTTAGTTTGTTAATATATTAATAGTCTTCAATGTCTCTGGACCTATGTTGAATGTGTGATTTATTTTTAGTGTTCTAACAAGTGCAAGATAGAATACCATGAGTTGAAGGACACTCAAAAATGTTTTTTGCTATGTTTGATATATGACAAATTATTCGCATAATTGAAGAAATGTGAAGTTGTTGGAGAGTAT